ACTCATATGTGGAATATAAGGAAACAAAGCAAAGGAACAGGTAAAACCAAATCAAAACAAATCCTTGAAATCTGACTGCAGAACTGAATCTAACTGAAAAGGAGGCCAAGGGGTAGGGAGTAAACATAGGAGGTGCCCAATGGGCTATGGTGGACTACAGTGGAGGGTTGTTAGTGCTTGTGTGGTAGGCAAGTTATGGTAACATACATTAGAACAGACCCCTAAAGCATATAGAACATTGCAAACTAACATTACCTCAATAAAAATAATTTAATTAAAAATGTCCTTTAGAATATGGGGTCAGCAATCTGGGAGGTGACATTGGAGAATGAAAAGGTGTGAAAGGAGCAAGTTGCAGTTACTGGTGGATAAGGGCTTGTGGTTTGTATAGTTGATGTGATTAGTGGGGGCCTCTCTGTCCATACCCTTAAATGTCTATATAAATGAATAACAGATTCTGGCTATGCTGTTTCAATTTAGGAATGTTAAAAACAATCTTAAGAAATGATAATAAAGATAAAGCTTGTAAGAAATTTCAACAAAAATTGAACAGCAAATATAAAAAAGAAAATCATCCAATAATTTATGCCTCCAGAGGAAATCAATTTACATTTTGGTGTGTCTTATTCCAGATTTTTAACACATGTACAGTCATCCTCAGTATCCGCTGAGGGACTGGTTCCAGGACCCCCACAGATACCCAAATCTGAGATTGCTCAAGCACCATATAAAAATGGTACAGTATTTGCCTATAACCCCAGCACATCCACCTGTATACTTTAGACTCTCTCTAGATAACTTGTAGTACATCTCACAGTTGCAAATGTTATGTAAATAGCTGTTATGTTGCATTGTTTAAGGAACAATGATAAGAAAAAAAAAGTTTGTTTATGCTCAGTACAGACTCAGCCACCATAGGTGGCTATATAGTACCCATTCACAGTTGGTGTGGAGTCAACTGAATACATATATCACAGTTGTACAAATTTTTTTTGAAGATTTATTTATTCATGCACACAAGAACTGGGGTACAGGCCAGATGTATGGGAGGGTGAGAGGATTCACCAGAGACAGAGCGGGGAACAGAACAGGCAGATTGACTGAAATAAACTGCCTAGAGGGGCAGTGGGCGAGACAGGAGAGGTCTGCTGCCCCATGTGGGAATCTCCCCGGCCGGCCAGGATCGAACTCATGCTGCAGAGGCTGGGGACAGTTTCACAGCACTGCGTTCAACTGCCTGCACCACCAGGGGAGGCCCAGTTGTACAAATTTTGTATGCTGCTTTTTCTTTTCTCAAACTCTCATTTTCCCATGTCAAAGTCCTTAGGTTCTCTTTTAAACTTATTTCATAACTATGCCTTTGAATGGATATATTCCAGCTTATTGGATCAATACTTATGATTTGGACCTTCCCTTTCTGACTTTGCATCAACAATGTGGCAATGAGTATCACCAAGGCAATGAATATCAATTTCATAGAATCATAGACTTCTCTATTCCAGGAAGGATTCCATCCTTCCACCCCCCTCATTTCAGGTAGAACTTAAGGGAGGAGAGAGACAAGTTGCCAGAATGAAAGGCTAGACATGACCTTGATGGCTTGTTATGCTCCCAAGAATGTACCTACTCAGATACCCCCCTGGGAATGGTCCTACTGGATCTGGGGTGTCTTCTGGGCACTCAGCCATGCCTGGATCACACAGGAACACAGAGGGAAGGTGTCTTCTTGCTCAGATAGCTGAACTAGCCCATAGACCAGACACAGAGTCAGGAAACTCTTTTTCCCAAAACAGTCTGGGAAACTTCTCATCCTTATAATGTTTTTGCTGATGTCAGTAACTTTATTTTAGTTGATCTCACAAGTTTTGGTTCTACCTGCTGAGGATAGGCCATTCCCAGGAAAGGCAATTGTCATTTTGAGTGGTAAGGAATCCTGTCTCCCTCTCTTCTACTTTTCTTCCCATTTTCTAGCTCAGTGGTTCTCAACCACTCTCTAGGGAACATTTTGAAAATTTGTAGGCTTTCTTTTTGTAATTATAATGATGGAGAGGGGCACTTGCCATTTATGGGCAGGGCAGGGGTATGAGAGATTCTTCAAAGCGCAGCCTGCACAAGGAAGAGCTGTCTCTCATCCAGATTCTCAAGTGTCCCCTAGGACACTCTTGTAGGTGAAAATCTGTGTTTAATTATCTGAGCCTAGAATTTAATACAGTTTTTTTTTTTTTTAAGAAACGTCTTTAATATATAATGAACTTTCTAGGAATACAATTACAGTTCTTTGTAAATTTAGGAAAGATTGACTTTGCTACCAAGAGTTGTTCAACATTTCATTAAATCACTTCTCTGATGGCAACATGCTGGAGGTAGTTGAGTCACCGACTCAGCACCTGTGTAAGTCTGTGTTTGTAGCAGCTCCATCCCCGCGATTCTCTGGATAAATGCAAGCATCTGCCTACTTCAGTGTGACTTTTAGAGTAGTCAGTCAGGACTCACACACACACATTAAAATATTGATGTTATTTTACTACAAATTACTTTTTTAAATTTCCCCTTTGTTACAGACAGGAAAGCGTGCTGGTTTTTAAAGAGTGTGTGTAGGACCTCCATTCTGGCACAGGGATTACAGTGTCAGTACTATCAAGCTATGGCCAGCCACTAAGGCATGAGGCATGAGTTCAATCCTAGCCAGAGAGCTAACCCACATGGCGCAGCAGACATCTCCTGTCTTGCTCACTGCTCCCCTCAGCAGAGTATTTTTCCTAAATACTCTGTATTTATTCATACAAGAACTGGGGTACAGGCCAGAGGTGTGGGGGGCAAGAGGATTCACCAGAGACAGGGTGGGGAACAGAACAGGCAGACTGACATAAATACACTGCTGAGGGGAGCAGAGGACCAGACAGGAGAAGTCTGCTGCACCATGTGTTTAGCTTCCTGGCCGGCCAGGGATGGAACTCATGTTGCAGAGGCTGAGGATAGCTTCACAGTGCTGTGCTGTTACCCCCTTGCACCACCAGGGAGGCCCACAGCAGTGTATTTCAGTAGATCTGCCTGTTCTGCTCCCCACTCTGTCTCTGGTGAATCCTCTCATCCCCCACACACCTGGCCTACACCCTAGTTTTTATATGAATAAATAATTAAAATAAATCTTAAAAAAATTAAAAAGTATGTGTAGTAGGTTACGTTATCCATGAATTTCAATGAGCACGGTAAAGGAGTCATTACAAAGTATTAATTATAAAAAGGGTTGGGGATTGAGAATCTCGGTTCTAATCAGTCTCCAGGAACTGGTTTTCTCCTCCACCTGTTTTCCAGGACCAGCCAGAAAAAAAGCTTTTTTCTTTTTTTTTTAACCCCGTCCCTTCAAAAGGAGCCTCTTTCTTCTCTAGCTCAAACTCACTATCGTGAACAACACACACATAGTCACACACCACACCACACCCACACACACACCTTCCACCGCCAGACAATAGCCAGGAGCTTCTGCAATTGTCAAGAGGCCGCACTTCTCCCGTCCCCAGAGCTGCCAGCTCTCCTTCAGTCAAAAAATATTGATTGCCAGACCCAGTAGGAGTATAGCAGAACATGTTGGCTCCAGTCCACTTGGAGGCTCTTCCCCGCCCCCCTTTTTTCCGCTACTACTTCAGTTTCTCCCCTGGATGCCCAGTTCCCAGTCTTTTGCTCCAACCCTGCTTCCCGCGGCCGGCAGCAGCCATGCCGCAGGGCCCACGGGGTCGCGCGCCGGCCCCGGCCCCCCTCCCCGCCCAACGCCCGCGGCGCTCAGGTGGCCCTGGGCCTTCATCCCGCCCCTCCCCGTCCTGCTCGTTCCGCCCGGGGCTTCTCCTCGCGCCCCCCCAGTCTCCTCCCGGCCCTCAGCCTCTGCCGCTCTCCTCTCACCCCGATCCGGGGCCGCCTCGCCCGTGCACCCGCCTCTCCGCACCTGCCCCCCGCCCCCCCGCGGCGCGGCCACTCCTCCGGCCGGCCCGGCCGCCCGCCCCACCCAGCGCCCCGGCGTCGAGCCGGGTCCGCGCCGGCGAGCGGGTGCCGGGCGCCCTGTCCTCGCGCGCGCCTCCCCGCCCCGTCCCTCCGCGGGCGCAGTGGGCGGTCCAGGGCGGGGCCGGGATCCGGGGCGGCTCCCGGGGCTCGGGTTGTGGGAGGCGCCCTCTCCCCGGTCTCCCCCCTTCTCGCCCCCCCGTCTTCTCCTGCACCCTCCTTCTTCCCTCCGCCCGGAGCTTTCCTGGCCCCGGCGCCGCCTCCTTCCCTCCCGACTCTCGGCTCCCGCGGCCGCCGCCGCCCCGGGGAAGGGGACACGGGTGGGGTTTGGGGGCGCGAGAAAGGAGGGCGAGACCCCGACGGGGCCGGAGCGCGGACTCCGGGGACGGGGGCGCGGGGGGAGGGGAAAGGTGGAGGAGAAAGGAGGGGGCAGCGGGCGGAGCGGCCGGGTCTGGGGCCTTGAGGCCCGGGAGAGCCGGGGAGCTGGGCCGGCGCGCCGAGGTAAGAGCCGGGGCCGGGGCGCGGGGTTCGGGGGGGCGCGCGGGGGAGGCCGGGCCGGGCCTCGGGCGGCGGGGCCGGGCGCGGGGCGCGACTCGGCGGCCGCTCCCGGGAGCGTGGGTAAGCGGGCGCCGAGCCGCGGGGGCCCGGGCGAGGAGGTGGTGAGAGGTGGAGTCCCGGGAGGGTGGGGGGCCGAGGGAGGCAGGAGGAGGGTGGGGACTGGCGCTCCCTCCTCCCCCCCACCCCGCCGGGCTCCGCCCCCGCCTCCTCCGCGGGGCGCTCCTGTGTCCCCTGTCGGAGCCGGGTCGCGCCTGGGAGGCACCCCGGGGAGGCCGGGCTGTCTCCCGGTCCGGCTCGCGCCAGCGGGCCTCGGGCCGGTGCTCATGGCCGCCTCTCACTCAGATGCTGCTGCTGCTGCTGCTGCTGGCGCCGCTCTTCCTCCGCCCCCCCGGGGCAGGCGGGGCGCAGACCCCCAACGCCACCTCAGAAGGTGCACCCTTCCCCGTTGACCTCGGGCACCCCTTCACCTCATTCTCCCTTTCTTTGCACCACCTCCATTCTGGTGTTCACATTATCCCGTCAGCCCTACAGAGCATCCCCGCCTGCTCAGCCCCACTTTACTACTCCTGACCTCCTTTTTGTTACCCCCACATTATAAACCAGCACCCCTTTTTCTCTGCCCCACATTGCTATACTAGGCCCCGCATTATTTCCTCCACCTCACCCCTCTTTCCTGGTCCCACATCACTACCTCAGTTCCTCCATTGCCTTGATCCCACGCTGCAGCCCAGGTAGCCTTGTAAGACCCCCTCCCCCCACGACCCTCCATTCTAATTCACCTCAGACCCCTCCCTTTAGCCTTTGTTGCCGGCCCCACTCACAAATCATACCCTTTCACGATTTCTTAATTACTTTTCTCCATTACCTGCAACCAACACTCCGATGGTGTCTCTCATTATTATTCTGAACCCTGGCTCATTACTCCGTCCTTCAGCCCAGGGTTCTGTCCCCATCCTCACTCTGACCATCTGGCATCCCGTCCCTTTCCTCTGTCCCCCACCTGCCCACTCCCCCTCTGTTGCTGACTCTGCCCTTTCTTTTCCCCACCGTTGCTCTCTTTCTGCCTGGGGGGCTGCCCCCTCAGGTTGCCAGATCATACACCCGCCCTGGGAAGGCGGCATCAGGTACCGGGGCCTGACCCGAGACCAGGTGAAGGCTATCAACTTTCTGCCGGTGGACTATGAGATTGAGTACGTGTGCCGGGGGGAGCGCGAGGTGGTGGGCCCCAAGGTCCGCAAGTGCCTGGCCAACGGCTCCTGGACAGACATGGACACACCCAGCCGTTGTGGTGAGTAGCCTCAGAAGCCCCTCCTCTCTTTAAAGTCATTCCTCTTCCGCTTCAAACTTAGCATGATTGCTTGCAAGTCAGCACTTTAAATCCAGTGTAACTAAATTCACAAATACATTTATTAAATGACTGCTATGTAAGAGGGACTGATGTGTGCAGTTGCACCCGCTAAATTTAGCAGCCTGTACATATCATCTTCCCTTCATTAGGCGGCTATTTGGTAAAATAACTTGATTATTCATCCCATGAGTTATTCTCTTGGAAGATCACTAGAGCAGATTTGCAAAAACATTCTAAAATGATTTCATCATCCATTCAAATACCCCTGTCTCCAACCCAGAGACCGTGTTCTCAAGGAAAAAAAAACACCCAATTTAATGTTAATCTAAGTCAATTATAATAAGAAAGGCACATTTGACTGTGCATTTCAAGTTCCATACATCGACTTGTCTCACTGGAGAACCGCCCACTGAGGCTGACTTTGAAGAGATCCCATTTTATGTGCTTATAGCTCCATCTTGGGTTCCTACACTGGAAATGCTTTTTCCTTTTTTCTTTTGGGAATATGTAGATGCTTACAGAGTTAAGGGAAGAATGGAAGCTGGCGAGACATTCCTTTTTACACCTAGTTTTCTGTAAAGTATATGTGGACCCAAACCCAAATTGAGCCCCCTGCTCCCTTAGAGGAAGGAACCTTCGCCAACTCACTTCTCATTTTATTTTCCTGTCTCTTCACAGTCCGAATCTGCTCCAAGTCTTATTTGACCCTGGAAAATGGGAAGGTTTTCCTGACGGGTGGGGACCTCCCCGCTCTGGACGGAGCCCGGGTGGATTTCCGATGTGACTCCGACTTCCATCTGGTGGGCAGCTCCCGGAGCATCTGTAGTCAGGGCCAGTGGAGCACCCCCAAGCCCCACTGCCAGGGTGAGGGGAACAGCTGCCTGCATGCAGCTGATGAGGACTCTTGTGAGAGGATGGGAGCGGGGTGGGGTTGGATGTGGGAAAGAACTGGGTGCTATACAAAATGTGGGTTTTGGCGAGGTGAAGGTGAGAACCCAACTCTTTCCTCCTTTAACCTGCCTCAAACTTCCGCCAGCAGTCCCCAGTGTCCCCTTTTTGTACTCTGGGCGCTTCCTTCCTTTACTTTTCTGATTTTTCATCTTCTCCCTGCTCCCAATTCTTGATTCTCATATTTTATCTTTTCCCTTATGAATTCCCTTAAGCCTTCCTAAGGCTCACTTACACCTTCTATTTCCCCCTAGCCTCAGTCACTTTCTCTAAATTCAGAGCTTTCTATGCATCATCCTCTTCTAGAATGGATCCCTCCCTATTCATTATATAATTGAATTATCATAAAGACTAAGAAATAAATCATATTTAGAAAAATACATCCTATTTAGAAAAAGTGATAAAATTGGAAAGAACACTGGGTGGGGGAGTATCAGTGTAAGAAGACTTAAAATTGGAGGCCAGAACTATCGTAGCATTAAGAATAACACAGCCCTGGGGGGTGGGGTGTGGAGGACAGTTCTTTCCTGTATTTCCAGACAATCTCCAACATTTCCCAGGGAATCAATCTTGTGTCCACCACCTATTCTGCCATCTGCAGGTCTGCACACCTCTCCCCTTCCTGGGCACCCACATTCTCCCTCTGCTGTCTTCTCTCCTGGCATGTAGGCGTACCTCCTCCTCTATCCTTGTAGACGCTTTCAAAATCCTCAGATCTGACTTTCCTCATATATTAAATTATTCTGCTTGTAGTTCACCATTCCATTCTAGAAGTTGGGAGCCCCACCCAGCCGAGGGTTTACAATGAAGCTAATGAAATTTAAGCCTCAGAGTTTCTTGCTTACACAGGCCACTTCCTGTGCTATAATGTAAAATTCTAACCATGTGTTCTCATGGTCATAAGTCTTTGGAAAAAATGCAAAAGTAAGATATTTTAACAGTAGTAGTTTGTAAAACCAATTGTATTCATAATTTGTAAATTTTTTCTCTTAAAGAGAGGCCTTCAAATTTTATATTTAGGTCTCATAAAACCAGAATCTGCCCTTGTCCTAGCTATTGGCACTCCTGTCTCAAATTCTGTTGTCCTATGAAAAATAAAAGAAGAAAACCACCAAGTCCTGACCCACAGCCCCACCTTGCTCTTATCCCCAGGCACCCTCCCCTCAGAAACGCAGGCATCCGCTGTCCCCGTTCTTCGGCATGGACAGGTGTGGGAGGGGGCTGGGGATCAGGCCCGGGAAGCTGGGCGCCCGTGGTAACTCTTCTCTGATCCCCGTCTTTCCTGCTGCCAGTGAACCGAACGCCGCACTCAGGTGAGACCAGAAACCCCAACCGCGTGCACTGCAACCCCCTCCCTTACCCCTCACTCTCCATCCTCCACCCCAGCGATCCTGGCCCTGGGCTCTGGGGTCTCGCCCTTCTCCCACCTTCTCCCCCACCCCTGTTTGCGGCCGACCTACCTGTTTCTGTCTCCGGTCCCGGTTTTCTGCGAGGCTGCGTCCCTCCCATCTCCCTGCTTGGCTGCACTTGCCTCAGCTCCGCCTCCTCCCAGACTCTACTTCTTCCAAATGGCAGAGCCCCAGCAGGGGGCGGCAGGGTGCTGGGAAGCTCCCTGAGCTTCCACCCCGGCCTCCCCTAGGGGGTTCCTCCCGACCTTCCTTTCCCTGCCTGCCCCCTTCCAGGGATTTCACCTGACCGTTCCCTCGGCTCAGCCCGCCCGCCTCTGCCCCGGGCTGCGCTACCCTCTCTCAGCCCTCCCAGCTGCTTCCTTTCCCTTCTGTAATAGCAGTTCCCTCTCCTGACACCCCTTCTCCTGACACCCCTTCTCCTGACACCCCTTTTTCTGACACCCCTTCTCCTGACACCCCTTCTCAGGCTTCTGCCTGCCCAGCCCCAGCTCCTTTCCTCTGCCCCTATCACTCTCCTTTAGAACAGTCTCCCCCTTTTCTCGCCCAACTTTCTCCAAAATTGTTTCCATCGCTGTCGCCTCGCCGCCCTCCGGCCCGTCCACCCCCGTCCCCGCGGGAGACCCTCCCTGGCCAGCCCCTTCTCGCGCGCCCCGCTCTCCTCCACCCCTTCTTGCTCCTCGTTGCGGGGTTCCGGCCTCGCGGCTCCCTCCGCCCACCCCGCCCTCGGGCACGCCCCTCCCTCCCCCCCTGCTGTCCTCAGACTGGGGACCCCTCCCTGGGTGGTGCGTTCCTCTCCTCCCCCACCCCGCCCCCTCCCTCCGCGCCTCTCCCTCCTCTTTGCCTCTCTTCCTCTCCCCTCCGGTTCCCACAGCGCCGCTCGCCGCCATCCCGCCCCCTTCTCCCTCCCCAACTCCTGCCGCCCCTCCCGTTGCCGCCCGTGACGTCAGAGCCCCCCCCCAGCCTCCTCTCCCTCCTCCCCTCGGTCGGTCGGTCAGTCCGCGAGGAGAGTCCGCGGTGGCCGGAGCCGGAGCCTAGGGGGCCGTAGGAAGCCAACCCCAGCCTTGCCTGCCTCCCCGGCCCTAGCCTCCCCCTCTCCACAAAACCAGGGATGGAGGCGTCTCCCCGACACCCCCTCAGCAGCCCTCCCCAGGAAAAGTGTCCCCCCTGAGCTACTGCTCCTCCCCAAGCAGCTACCCCCGCCCCCTGCCATGGGTCCGGCGGCCCCCTCGGCCCCGGTGTGGTGGCCGCTGCCGCTCCTGGTGGTGATGGCGGCGGGGGTGGCCTCGGTGTGGGCCTCCCACTCCCCTCATCTCCCGCGGCCTCACCCGCGGGTCCCCCCGCACCCCTCCTCAGAACGGCGCGCAGTGTACATCGGGGCGCTGTTTCCAATGAGCGGGGGCTGGCCAGGGGGCCAGGCCTGCCAGCCCGCGGTGGAGATGGCGCTGGAGGACGTGAATAGCCGCAGGGACATCCTGCCCGACTACGAGCTCAAGCTCATCCACCACGACAGCAAGGTAGCCCGGGACTTGGGAGTGGGTGGGAGGTGGGGACTTGGGGGGCAGGGGGCCAGCTGCTTGCGCCTCAGAGTTGCTTCTAAGATTGCTAGTTGGACCCCTCCCATGTGTGACTAGCAGGGGATGGACTGGGGTGTAGGAGCCTGGGGAGCTTTGCTGGGGCTGGAGGTTCAAGATGAGGGTCTCCCTTGTTCAACGTGAGGGTCTCTGGGGTTCCAGATGGTTGGTCGGTCTTTAAGGCAGATCCTAGTGCTCCTGAGACCCATGGAAGTGGAGGTGGGGTGGGGGTTGGGACACTGGTGGTGGGTTTAGGGTACCCGCTGATCCTGATCCTCCAGGGAGTAAACTAACCCTGGGAAGAGTTGGGGGATGGAGGGAATGTCAGAGGTGGGGACTGGATCAGGGGTTTACATTTACCATGTAACAAGGCAAATCTTGGCAGCAGGTTGAAGCTGGAAGGAATAGGGACAGAATGAAGAAAATTTTGAGGGACTTAAGTGGTCTAGTTTATCACAACAAATAACTAGGTAACTGTGAGTCCTACCTGACCCTTCATTTCTCCATCCCCAGCCCTGTTGAGAATTCGTGGACTGTGGGATGCACGGTACATGTTATGTTGTGGTTGGGAGGATTAGTGGCCAAGGCATGGGCAGAGGCACTGGGAAAATGAACTGGATTAGAGGCTCACACTGGAGCATCCCCTCCCCCTCCCCCACAAGAGCAGGGGGAGGGAGAGGAGTCAGGATATAAGGATGAGAAAGGAAACTGGAATGAATGGCGGTGGGAAGGGGACCCCAGATTTGTGTGCATGATGAGAGATCCTTGGGTAACATGTGGAAATGGGTCCTCTGAAGCATTGTGCCTCTCACATGGGGGAGGGGAAATGGGTATAGGGTTAGGGAGGTAGGAAGAGGGAGAAGGAGAAGGTAAGAAAATTTGGGCCCAGGGGTAGTAGAGGATGGTAGTAGAGGTAGTAGAGTAGAATAAGATTCTTCTCCCCTATTTGAATAATTGGGAACACGAGGAAAGATGTGGGACAGGGAAGGAAGGAGATTTGGGGCCTCAAATTTATCTTCTCTGACAAGTGGAAGTCTCTGACTGAGACTTAAGGGATTAGGGGCGAGTGAAAGAGAGTACAGAGGTGAGGGCTTGGTGATCTTACATCTAGAGTGAGGATTTATATTTATTCTTTAGAATAACAGTCGACACCTAGAAATAGGAATGTGAGGGAGTTGGGGGCAGAAGTTGAATTGAAAGAAGGGTGCTTGGGGAGAATAGAGCACAAGGACTGCTAGGAACTTGGAGAGGAACTTCAAGTCCCTTCTGACACTTCTACAGAAATTCTTAAACTTCAGTGTATTCAAGAATTACCAGAGGAGTTTGTTAAGACAGATTCTAACTCCTTGGTCAGGGATGAGTCCCACGTATCTGGATTTTACCAATAAAAACCGTGCCCGGGTGGATGCCCGTGTAGCTGATGCCCATGGGAAGAGCAGCAGGATACAGGAAAAGAATGAAGAATTCAGGTGGGAGAAATAGGAAGAAATAGAGGGTCAGATCTGATCGAGCAATCAAGCTCAGGAGAGTAAGAGGGGTAACAGGTTATGGCGTGTGGAAGTAATGGGGAGAGAGACAGGGAGGGATAGGTGCAGGCGTTTTGATTGGGATCAGAGGGAGCCAGCAGAGCCCTGTGTGTGAGCTCAAAATTATCCACCATGACAGGTGATTCCCTAGAGGTGTCATGGAGCAGATGGGGGGACCTGAGAGAAAAGAGATGGAGAGAAAATAGCAAAGGCAGCAAGGGGGAGATGGAAAGGCAGACAAATTGGAATGTGTCAACTGGAATGTGTTGTTTCCTGCCTGCAAATCCAGATCCTTTCAGAGCAGAGGAGAGGGAGGAGAAAGGAGGACTCTATTGGGAAGGGGGTGAGAATCCCATGGGGGGAATCTGCAGTGATGTCTGGGGTGTGGAAGGGGGCTGGGATGGAAGGAAGGGTAGAGGGGGAGTGAGGAAACAAGAGACTTTGGAGAGCATGGCTTGCCTAGATGTATATGTCTTATAGAATCTCGTATGTCCTTATTGCTCCTATGAAGCTTTTCTTCACACAAGAAGGGGGGCACTGAGGGGTCTTGGGAGAAGCTGGGGGTAGAACTGGTGTAATAGATGCTGGGCCAGGCCAGGGAGGTGGGGCTTGAGAATGGTAGAGATAAACAGAGATGCCCAGGTGGAAGCATGAAGAACCTTCAAAAAAACAGCACCAAACAGAATTTCAGTGCTGCCCTTAGCAGGGGGTGGGGGTGGGTGGGCACCAGAGAGTTCTGGGTGCGTGTTCATCAGACTCAGGCAGCCTCCCCGGCTCCCCCTTCTCCAACTTCCCACAGTGTCCCAAATGTCAGGCCTCAGTGGGAAGCAAGCACTAGAGCACGCTCTAGGGGAGGCTTCTTTATTTGCTGGCCACTTGCCCTCCCCATTTCACCCCCTTCAGTCTGCCTCTGCCCTGGTCTGTGTCGCCTCTGCCCTGGCTCCCCACTGGCTTCCATTTCTTCTCTACTTCCTTTAGGCTCCAGCAGCTTCTGAAATGTCATATTTCAGCAGGAGGGGAACAGGCAGTGGGAGACCCGGCTGGCTCTTCCTCCCCCACTTCCCCTCCTCCCTTCAATCCTTTTCTCTGTAGCTTTCTGTGTTGTTTACTTTCCAGGACTCTGTGCCTCTCTTTCAGGCACCCCTAAAAGCTTTTTGGCTTTTGAGAATCGCATTCTGTTTATTCTCCCTAATTCTTTCTGCATCTCATCTCTTCCCCCTTCCACTCCTGAGTGTCTTTTTCCCTAATGGACCCTTCAGATCTAAGGACCCAGCAGGAGCTTGCACAGGGCCAGCCACCCCCCAGTGGTCTTGTTTCTGCTCCCTCTTGTTTATTTATCACTAGCCCTAAAAAGAGAAGAGGGAGGAAAAATTGCAAGGTGTGGAGAGGGAGTTTGCAGAGGCGAGGGAGAAATTTTCATATCTTTGGGGAGGCTGTCTGGGATCTTGGGAAGGGTTTATTCATATTCCTGCCTTTTTTTCTACTCACAGCTATTTGGAGCATAGAAACCTGGGGTAAGAGTCAGGGGTGATAGAGGGAAGTTGGGCTAGGGAATGTCTGAGATGAACTGAGAGGTGGGAGAGCTTACAGGCATTCATACTGAGGGAGGGGTGTGCAGGAGAGTGCGTGGGTAAGTCTCCAGGTGGAAGGCACAGAAGGGTGTTTAGGGGACGAGGAGAAACAGGAGACTTGGCAAGAAGAGATGTCAGGAAGGAGGAGACAGAGGAAATCATGACAAAAGGGCTTCAGTAGAGAGATGGGTCATTGGAGGAAAAAAAGAGAGTTGCAGGGAGAGGAGTATAGGAGACCCTGCTGTCACCCCACTATCCCCCTATTTAGTGTGATCCTGGCCAAGCCACCAAGTACCTGTACGAGCTGCTCTACAATGACCCCATCAAGATCATCCTCATGCCCGGCTGCAGCTCTGTCTCCACGCTTGTGGCCGAGGCCGCCAGAATGTGGAACCTCATCGTGGTAAGCAGCCCATGGGGGTCTGTACTAAAGGACTGTACCAAAGAAGGTGGGGCTGTGCTAAAGAGGGGGTGTATCGCGGGTTTGGTTTGTGAGGATTGCGGAGGACTGGCTGCCAGGATGCCAGGTCCTTTGCAAACCTGGGCCTCCTAGCAACAGCGGCCTGAGCGCTGCAGCCGACCTTCACAAGTAGCTGGAGCTAGATCAGTGCAGAGCCCTCCTATTGTGAGGGCCTGTGTGGGCCTTTGAGAGCCTCTTTTCCTTTCCTAGAGCAGAAGTAGGGCTGGGAGAGAGTGGGAGACTGAACCCAGAGGGGAGAAGGGTCAGAGAAGCTCTCAGTGGTTTATATCTGTGATGAACATGCGCTGTGCCTCCTCCCTGTCCCTCTTAGCTTTCCTATGGCTCCAGCTCACCTGCTCTGTCAAACCGGCAACGTTTTCCTACATTCTTTCGAACTCATCCATCAGCCACACTGCACAATCCTACCCGTGTGAAACTGTTTGAAAAGTGGGGCTGGAAGAAGATCGCCACCATCCAGCAGACCACTGAGGTCTTCACTTCGGTGAGGAACGGGCGAAGGGTTAAAGGGGATGTCCCCAAATCCCAGTGACCCAGGTCATTTCGAGGGGAAGATCTTGATTCTTTGTCTAAAGAGAACATGGGTTAAGGGCATGCTCTTTTTGTAGTCAGAGAAATGAATGAGTTGACTTTTCAGAATTCTCTCCAACTTTTGGGTTTTCGAATTATTTTTCCTTCTTTGATGCTCTGTTTCCCAGTCAGATATGCCCCAAATGACCCAGATATATTAAAGTAGGTTCATTCCAAAGTTGAAATGAAATTTGGAGAGATTATGGGATAGGAAAGCAGGAAGGTAGCATATCCCAGAGGCACTCAAGGGGTTGGTGTGTGTATGTGCAAATGGGAACAGAGGGAATGGAGCAATAGAGCTGGATACAGGGACAGAGAGGGGGAGCGAGAGGGGGAAAGGAGTAAGAAGGGGAGAGGAGAGACAGACAGACACTTGGTGCAAGGATGATCTGGTGGTTGACTCAGAAATGCAACCAGCAAGAAGTGGAAGGAAAAAGGGAGATGGGAAGAGGGAGATGGAAGGAGTCAGGGAGGACATGAGCACCCTGCTCCTGAAGACACTGTTCTCTCTCTTATTCTGTTTGCATCCTCTCTCTGCAGTGTGCTTCTTCGTCTTCCCCCCACTCTCTCGGTGCTTCAGGCCCCCCCCACCCTGGCCCTTTTGTCTCTCACTTGCCTCTTGAGGTTGGCATCATCCTGTCTTTTCCAATCCTGCCTCCTTTTCTCCTCTGTTTTTCTTTCCCCCACTTCTGCTCTCTGGTAGGAGTGGGGTGAACGAGGTGACTTCCCTTGACACAGATCCTCAAGAGGGACTCACCATGCACTTCCCGCTTAGAAGCACATCACAAGAGTCCACATGCTTTCCTTTGAGCTCTGCCCTTCCCGGGCACGGAAGCTGTGAAGGAAGGTTCAGAACTGTTGCTCCCTTTGCTCTGAATATGCAACCAACAGGTAACAGCTCTGTCTTTGCCCCATGTTTTTTCTGTTTCTCATCCCTACTCAAGACTCTGGATGACCTGGAGGAGCGAGTGAAGGAGGCCGGGATTGAGATTACTTTCCGGCAGAGTTTCTTCTCAGATCCAGCTGTGCCTGTCAAAAACCTTAAGGTGGGATGGCCGGGAGTCATGGGCTCAGCCTATAGAGGGGCCGGGCTGGGGCCAGTGGTGGGTCGGAGAGAAGGACCAGGTGTGGGCAGGCTGGGTTTTTGTTTTTTTGTTTGTATTGAAGTATAATTGACCTAGAACATGGTGCAAGTCTAGTCATATGTGTTGATGTGATACATTTATATATCATAGTGTGGTAGCACAACAACATTAGCTAACACCTCTATCATGTCACATCACATCGAGTCTGAGGCAGTAGCATCTCCTGGGGAAGTTTAGCTTCCTTTTGCAGTTGCCATTTATCCACAACCCAGTGAACAGAACCCCGCACTAAGCACTTTGGGACAGGAAATCAAAGCCATGAAAGTGCTTTGCTTAGCTCCTTCGGTGTTTCCAGGTGTCCCTCAGGACCTCTCTTTCTCTCCATTCTGTAGCGCCAGGATGCCCGAATCATCGTGGGACTTTTCTATGAGACGGAAGCCCGGAAAGTTTTTTGTGAGGTGGAGTTGGAGTCTGAAGAGGGAGGGGACTGGGGTGGGGGCTCTTTCCCTTGGGAGTCTCGAGGGAGCTCCTCCCCAATCCCTGCTCAAGTAGAGAGCAAGTGATCTGGGGGATGGTTAATATTTTGACCCTGCCTGCCGGCTCTTGCTCCATCTCTTGCTGCTTGCACAAGTGACACTTTATCCAGACCTCATTTTCCTGCCAGTTTATATTTCCCGAGGAGCCCTCATGAATTCCATCTTTCTTTGCTGACCGGAAATGTCCACTCAGAAATAGACACTTAGAAAGGGAGGGACTTAGAAGGAGAAGTAGTTGAGCCTCTCCTATTACCCCTAAGATTTGTAGAATTTTTTTTGTAATTCTCTGCTCTTATCTGATTCCCATGAGGCTGTATAGTGTCAGGCCAGATAAGACAAAAAAAGAAGATAAAGACCCAGCTGTTTTCCTTTGCATGCAGGTGTACAAGGAGCGTCTCTTCGGGAAGAAGTACGTCTGGTTCCTCATTGGGTGGTATGCCGACAACTGGTTCAAGATCTATGACCCGTCCATCAACTGCACGGTGGACGAGATGACTGAGGCGGTGGAGGGCCACATCACCACTGAGATTGTCATGCTGAACCCTGCCAACACACGCAGCATTTCCAACATGGTGAGAGTGTGGACACGTAGAGGCTGGTGTCCGGGCAGGTGCAGAGGATGAAGTGGGCCTCACGGGGAGGGGAGCAGGCGTGGAGTTTGGAGGTCCAGGAAGAGAAGGGGTTTCTGCCCACCTTGCGCTTGCTTGCATTGTTTCCTGTGAATTCCACCTCTGCTGTGACTTCCTTGGGCAGGAAAGAGAAAGAAATGAAAGTGGTATCTTTAGTCAGTTCCTGATGAGTGGAAAGGCTGTTGCCATGGAAACAAGGAGCAGCTGGCAAGGAGTCAAATGAGGGAGAGGCTTTAATGATCAGACAGATGCTGCGTGTGCAAGCACACCTTTACAGAAACGCTGTTCGTGGGCTGAGATGCATTTTGTTTTCTTGGTGACTTCAGAGTACTTTAGAGTTGCTTAATATTCACTCCTGAGTGATCTTCAATTAGCTTGTCTGCCGATGATTTTTAAAATGATTCTCTTTTAGACTTTTAGATGTAAAATGGACTTTTGAAATTGGTTAGCACTGGAGAGCTAGTTAGTGACAGACCTGAGCTAAAAGACACCTTCTCTGATTTGGGGAGACTGGGGTAGCCCTGCAGGTAAGGGGTATGAATGAGTAGGGCATGGAGCTTGGTGGGGGGCTCCTTTTTTTGCTCAGCAGTATCTTTTGAGGAGTACAAGAATCTTGGGTGAACTTGGTAAGGCAGCCTGTGTGTCTGCCTTTTATGCTCAGGGTAGCCCCAGGTATCAAATACTTGCTTTGGAGAGCATGCTGAGGGAGAGTTAATGGTTGTAAAACCCCTGATTATCTTATTTTAAAAGATAGCTTGCTTTTATGTCATAAACTAGCAGCTTAGGTGTATGCTTTCAGTGATCTTCACAGCATTGCTCTGAAGTAGATTTGTCATTTTCACTTTATGAATCAGGAAATGGAGACTTGTCCCAGGCCTTGCATTCAAGCTGGAACTGAATCATAGCTGACTCTAACTCCAAACCATTCTTCTCCAACCATGAAGTCTGACTGAAAAGTTTGTACACCTATTGGCTAACACTATTTTTAGACAGTGGCAGTTTTTGAGCAAAGGAGAGAAGATTTAGTAGGTTGTGATGAAAGTGTCTGTTGTCATGTAGGTTCTGAACATGGACTCTGTCCTGGGACATCTTAAGGGACCCTGTGTTTAAGGTATCTTGGTTGAAAAATGTGGTGGGAAAATTCTGGACGGTCATGTCCTTGTAGAGCACCTGAAAGGTGAACATTCCCAAGAACCTGGAGAAATAGAGGAGCTGGTATGAGGCTGGAATGGCTTGTTGCTGCTGAGTCCTGGTCCTGGCCCTTGGGACTTCTGCCCAATAGCCAGAAGCTAACAGAGCCCCTGACAAGAGGCAGGGGTTTGGTTGGAGGTATAAAAGGTCATCAGAGATTTGGAGCAGGATAGTTGGAGGAATTTTTTGACACTTGGTCTCTAGAGAATGATGATGCCTGCCTTTAAGGTCTGGAGTTATCACTAGGCTGCTTGGTTGATTAATACATCAGGTGAAGCAGCCACGGTTTTTCAGAGAATAGAAGCAGCTTTCACAACTGACTAGGGAAGAGATTATAGATGATTTAGATAGGGCCAGAGAAGTGGGTCAGACATGAGGGGTTGGACTGAGGGCCCAGAGCTGTGGAGATTTAGAAGAGATCAGAGTTGTCTTTAATCTGCATGGATGACCTTACATTTACTCAGCAGTTCTGAAACTTTCGCTTCTATTAGAACTTACTAGAAAGGTTAATTAGTACACAGATTACTGGGTTCTTCCCCTGATTTGGTAGGAATGGGGCTAGGCCTCAGAATTTACGTTTCTATGAAGTTCCCTGGGAATATTGATACTGTGGTCTGAGGACCACGTTTTGAGGACTATTAGTTATTGAAGGTTTTCAAATAGAGGTTGTAATGTCTAGGGGCAATTTTGGCTGTCACAACCATGGGTAGCAGGAGGGATAGATGCTCCTGATGTCTAATGGATAGAGGCCAGGAGTGCTTCTAAACATCCTACAAATGCACGGCAACAAAAAATTATCCTGCTCCCAATGCCAATAGTACCCAGATCGAGAAACCCTGGTATAGAAAGCATCTTTAAGAGTTAGAGATGAGAGAGTAGGTTAGAGTAGTTTTGGAGAAATGTTATAGCTCTGGACTGGAGGAGAAGGTGGGGGTGGCATACCTGGGGATAAGAATGTGAGTGAATTCTGGTATAACGCCAAAAGTTCCCTTGGATGTACATTTTAGATCACTGTTTGAGTGTCTTTGCCACACATAGAGACAACCAGACAGGGCTGTTAAAAAATAGGATCATAACTTTATACTTGGTTACTTCACTAATTTTTATAGGTTGTGAAATTTTTGTCCAGTTTTTCTTAACTGCCTGGTAACATTTGCATTTGAAAATTTACAACCATATCTTTGGTGACCCAGGGGGAAGTTTTTTTGTATCTTGATTTGGGGGTGCAGTGGTTTCTCCAGTGGCCAAGATTGTAGTGACCTGGAGCCAGCAGAGAGCTTAAGGGTCTAGGCAGGGGACAGTGTTATGCAGAACAAGTGACTCCCTTTCCATATGGGTGACTTCCTGAAGCAGTATTCACTTTTTTTTTAAGATTTATTTATTTATGCATATAAGATAGGGGTATAGGCCAGAGGTGCAGAGGGTGAGAGGATTCACCAGATACAGAGTGGGGAACAGAACAGACTGACTGAAATACACTGCTGAGGGGAGCAGCGGGCAAGACAGGAGAGGTCTGCTGTGCCATGTGCGTAACTCCCTGGCTGGCTGGGGATTGAACTCATGCTGCAGAAGCTTCACAGTGCTGTGCTTAACCTGTTGTGTCACCAGGGAGCCCCAAGCAGTGTTTACTTTGAACTGAAGGCCAGATAGACTTGAGGTTGAAAGCCTACTCAGAAATTCTTAACCTAGCTGCTCTCTCCATAGCAGGTGCTCTTAGAGAGAGAGAGGCTTTCCAGTTTACAGAGGCGGTGTAGGGTAGTTGGGAAGAGTACGGACTTTGTCTGGGTTTGAATCTTCCATGCATTAGCAATGTAACTAAAGGCAAATTAGACTTTTCTGTGCCTCAATTTCCTTATCTCTAGAATGCCATGATAATAGTATCTACTCTATTGGATTATTTAAGGATAAATTAATTGACATATGTACCTTAGAAAAGTACCTGACATACAGTAAGGACAATATAAATGTTAGATATTTTTGTTATTAAGTGTTAATATTATTATTACTAACATTATTCTGTGTAGGAAGGGATGATATTAACAAACATTTCAGTAATAGAATTAAGAAGAATTCTGTTTGATTTGAGAAGCTAAGGTGATTCCAAGATTTCAGTCACATGTACTGGGGAATATTGAGAGTAAAGAAAGATTGAGTTTTATGTTAGATATTTTGAACTTGAGATTGTTTTTCGTATAGTCATAAATGCCTTAGAAATAGTTGGAGATACAGGATTTCAAATGCTGAGCTGGAATTACAAATTTTAGTATCAGTTACAGAGAGAGACATATTTACAAAGAGAAAATGTAACTTATTTTGTAGCTAGCATTTTATATGTTATTTCATCTTCATACTAACTCTAAGGTAGTAAGTATTATTTCCATTTTAAAGCTGAGTGACCAAGTAATCAGGTTTAATTTGTTAGAGATTATGTAGCAGTATGTAGATGAACTAGAGGTGGAATCCATTTATCTATTAATACATCCAATGGATATTGTTTTTTAAAAATATTACTGAGGTAACTTTGGTTTTTAGTACTCTGCATGATTCAGAGGAATAGGTTCACCTCTCCTTAGATATGCATTACCCCATACCCCACGCACTATCCCAGCACCCATATTCCTTTATCATATGCCATTGGGCCCCTTCCCTGCCTTGAGCCCATCCCCACTCTCCTTCTTTATTAACCTCAGTTCTGTCATTGTATTTCTAGGGTTTGTCATTTCTTTTGTTTTGTTTTGTTACATTCCACATTTGAGTGAAATCATCCAGTATTTGTCTTTTTCCTGCTGGCTTATTTCACTTAGCACAGTCTTGTAGTTCTATTCACTGTCACAAATGGCAAGAATTTACCTTTTTTTTTTATAGCTGAATATTATTCTGTGTACATGTATCACATCTTCCTAATCCAGTCACCTGTCGTTGACCCGGACATTACTTTTTAAAAACTTAATCTGTTATAATGGTTTTAGGTTCACAGCAAACTTAAGAGGAAGGTATAATGATTGTCCATATGACCCTACCCCAAAATGTGCATGAAACACCATTCTCACCATCCCCCACCAGAGCGATTACAATTGATGAACATACACTTATCATCCACAATCCATAGTTGAGGACTCACTCCATAGTATGAGGGCTCACTCTTGTTATACGTTCTATGAATTCGAACACATGTGTGATGACATGCATTCACCATTATAGTATTCTACAGAGTATTTCACTGCCCTAATCCAATGGAAATTTGTGGTTTATACATTATGGGCTGGGCCCAGTGCTGGATACTGAGGATAAAGAGAGGAACTTGGTCTGGAGAGAGCCCAGGCCTGTCTGCCTCAATGCCCAGGTTGTTCCCACTGTACCACACTGCCTATGTCCTTTGCATTTTTCACTCTCCCACTCTGTCTCCAGAAAGTTGAATAGAAAGAAAAGCTGGCAGGATGAGGGAAATAAAGATAATCATTTATTCTTTATCCACTTATTCATTCCTTCACTAGAGTGTGTGCATATTAATACATCCCAAATCTAAGGAGTTGTGCAGTGCCCCTGTGTGTTACTTGTGCCTTGCCAAGAGATGGTCATTGAGTTTGATGGTTTCTGGGGGGCCAGATGTGATTTACTCCTTATGCATTTCCATTATATGGGAGACATTTCCAAAACTGAAGCAATATACCCACAGTTATTTAGCCAAATGAATTTATTACCAGGTATAGAAATTAACCTATATGAACCTATATAATCTATATGAACCATCATGAACCTATTTCATGATAAAGTTAAAGGAACTGTCATACATTTTAGCTTTTTTGAAAAAAGAAGACTGAGGGTTAGAAAGGGTTTGTGGAGGGATTGAATAATGGATTTCAAAAGTGCGAAGGGTATTTCTGCAGTCCTCAGTCTTCTGAAAGCCCTCTGAGAGACAGTGAACTGAAAAAACACAAGGTTGGCAAGACGTACTAAAAGTCTTCCTGGTTGTCAAGCAGAATGAGGAAGGTTATGTCGCACCTTTTCTAGATCTTTCAGCTGTGGAGGCGCTGTTAGGTCTTGCGTCAGCTCTAGTGAAGTCTGAAGATGAGAGGGCATCAGTGTAGCGATTCTTCATTGAAATAGCTGTGATTCTTGTGCTCTCTCTAATTTCTATCCATTGTCATTTGTTATGCTGAATATTCATTAAACTTCCCTATTTATAGTGCTGAGCTAGCTGTTGTACTCATTAAGACCGGTGGATGCAGCTAATCCCTGCTGTAGTCTAGTAGTTTTCTATCTAAGACATGGGAATGAAGATATTGAACGTATGTATGCTCAACACAAACATGAACCAGCTGTTCAAGCTGAAGTGTTGGAGTCAGAATTCAGTGTGCCTCTCCCCTCCGCACAACCGCTCCGATCTTTCCCTCCTTTTCTCTCTTCTGTAGACATCACAGGAGTTTGTGGAGAAGCTGACCAAACGACTAAAAAGACACCCTGAGGAAACAGGGGGCTTCCAGGAGGCACCGCTGGCCTATGATGCCATCTGGGCCTTGGCATTGGCTCTGAACAAGACATCTGGAGGGGGTGGCCATTCAGGCGTGCGCCTGGAAGACTTCAATTACAACAACCAGACCATCACTGACCAGATATACAGGGCAATGAACTCCTCGTCCTTTGAGGGGGTCTCCGTGAGTTACAGCAACTTTCTTCACACTCCCCTGCTCTCCCATCGAGAGAGAGACCCTTTCTTCTTTTGGAAACAAGCATTCCATCTCTTTAATAATTGCCCTCAGACCAAGGAAGTAGGGACCTGTAAGCCAGACAGCCCCATAAAAGATCAGAAGGGGAAAATGGTATATTTCATTTCTTTCAGCCCTCTCCTGTCCTTTCTTTTCACTGTAGACATTTTTGAGTCAGATGACTATCATAGGATTTTAAGAGGAAATAGAATGAAAGATCAACTCCTATTCCTTTCAGAAGGGAAAAGTAGTGTCTTGAGGGATTTGGTGACTTGCCCAGGTCACGCAGCCAGAAGCCAGGTCTCCTGATGCTCTCTCTGGAGAATTTTTCCCATTCAAATCTCATGGGTGATGCAGCTTTTCAGAAGAATGTTTCTGAAATCTAGGGTATGGACATCTGGGGTATGTCCTATATGCAAGCAAAGCCATAAATAGAATTCATTCAGAAGCTCAATTACATCAAAAACATAAGGATTCAAAGAGTCCCTGATGTTCCTTTTCACTCTCGCTTTTTATCTCCTTTGCTTTTCTCCACATCTTCCTCTCCCTAAGGGCCATGTGGTGTTTGATGCTAGCGGCTCCCGGATGGCGTGGACACTGATCGAGCAGCTCCAGGGTGAGCAAAGGGGTGTGAGGTGATGGGGGTGAGGGGGGGTGGGACCTTCTGGGAGAAGAGCGCCAGCCAGGATTGCCTCAGTGTCTCCCACCTCATGCCCTTCTCTATAAACTGTATTCATCAAGCTTTTAAATAATCATGTGGGCGGGTTTTCTTTCTTTCTTTTTAACATTTTACAAGGGCCAATTGATTAGGAAAAAGAGAAAGGGAAAACGAGACACCTGCATAGATACAGGCAGAGAGCTGCTGGGTGGGTTTTTAAAGTTGCAACGGTTGTGTTCTTGAAAAGCACACTGAAAACAGTCACTCTTTTTTCCTGGTGGCTTGCATTTTAATTTCAGAAATTTTCCCTAGTGGCTTGGTATAACTTGTCAGTTGCAGACTCATGGACTCAAGGAAAGTGGAGTCTAGGAAACCTGCTATTTTTAAAGGGACTCCATTGCATATCCTTGCTGTGTAAACAATCATTGATAATTTTTTGGTGATACGTATAGCTTGGCTTTTCTAGACTGTATTTTCTTATAACTTAGCAAACTTAAGGATTTGTAAAATTTCTATGAATTAATTTTTCAATTCTACTTCACTCTCAGGCTCTTATAGCATGGCCAAGAGCCATTTTTTTGGCCTCTTGTGAAAAGCTTCTTTCTTTCCGTCTCCCCACCTCCCACATCCGTTCAGATCTTCTTTGTGTCCAGGACAAGAGGGAATGGACTTCAGCCACGGTGAAAGGGACATGAGTTGGCTTTTGAAGGAAAAGTTATGGTAACTGGGACAGTTTTGGAACAGAAACTTTAGGAGTGATTGAATTTTACTTTGTGGCTGTTGAAGAGGCAGCTGCAACTTGTCTAAGGAATTAGAACCCAAGCCAACAGAAGAGAAATTTCTAAAATTAAAATGAAAGCCGCTGGGAAAAGAGAGCCTGTGATTCTGTCTATCATGAGAGGGAGAATAAGTAGAAATGTGTTTAAAGCTTCAGAAGCCAGATTCAAAGTGAGAGTCATCTTGCCAAGAGAGGTGTGAGACTGTGCAATGGGTGTTGGACGTACTATGGAGCCTCTTCACTGAAGGGCTTTAAACCTATAAAATATTCTTCATATTTTCATTGCCTTGGGTCCACCTTATATTGCTTTTAAGTCAGAGTATGGATTCAAGTGACCCCTGAGGGCCTTCCAAGTATTCTTCAGGGGCTCAGGTTGAAGGAAAAATCAGGTTGAACCCTGGACGACTACTCGGGGAAGCCGGAAGTTTGATGGGCTCTTCACCTACCTGTAGTCACTCCTGTTGTCACCTGCTTAGGTGGCAGCTACAAGAAGATTGGCTACTATGACAGCACCAAGGATGATCTTTCCTGGTCCAAAACAGATAAATGGATTGGTAAGTGGGTCTCATTTCTATTTTCCTTCAACCTCTCTCTGCAGTCAAGGAAAAGGGTCGTCATGTGTTTAATGAGGGCGGGTTGGTAGGGGCCAGTAGGTTGAAATGCACCAAGGGCTGGTTAAGAGAAAGGAAATAAAATCTCCAAGGCATGGACAGGGGACATTAGTGTTTGCAGAGGGAATAAGTGGCTGGTGGCAATCGCTATTAAAAATAGTGCAATTCTGGGGTAATTGGGGATTAGAGACAGGGTGGGCAGGGGTGGGAAATGGAAAGTCTGTTTGGGTTTTCTAGCTTTGCTCATGCTTCGATGTAATGAGCTGGCTGTGTTTAGCCTAGATTTGCCTCTTCATCTCAGTCAGGAAAGCAGTAGCATAGCCATAGGAGGGGATGTAAAACCTCATATGACTGTCTGCTAACATGCACTTTTAAGAGAGAAAAAGTACGTGGTTGTTCTTTGTGTACTTGGTGGCCTAAATAATAGGAAATGAAGAAATACGGAAGGTGGGCAAAAAGAAGATCAACTGATAAAGGCTGGGTATCTTAAGGATGGAGGGACACAGCTATGACTGGAGCTGCCATCTGCCCTGCTCCACTAAAGTCGAGTCATTCCTGACACAGCTGGAGTTATGAAATTTTTTTATAATTTGAATTTAGGACGGTGTTCTGTACTGCTATAAATGCTGCATGGCCTAAATTACACTTTTTTTTTTATATATATAATCGAGTGATTGGAATTAGTGGGTTTTTTTTTTTGTCAACTCTGAGAAATTTGAGCTTACCCTTAATAATAATTGGAAAATACCTTTAGGACTATCATCCTGCCAGGTTAAAATCACAGATTAGTTTTTTCCCAGGGTTAGGAGGCCAGACTAGACACTTTGAGGCTTTTTAGCTTTATGATTTTACAGCTGTCTTTTGCACTTTGGATTTGAGTTCTGAGAACTCATAATATTATTTCTCAGTTACCCATTCTTTCCCCTGCCATTTTCCTTTGCTGTAAAAGGAGAGAAACAGAAAGACAAACAATTGCAAAAAACAAAAAGACTTTAAACTTTGGTGATAAACCTCAGCCTGTACGTCCTCTAGCTCCATTTCCTCACCCTATTTCTGCTCAACGTGTGTTCCACCTGCACACGCCCTATGGGGCACTTAGGGTCTCACATCCTCAGAGCCAAAGACATGAGTGTCTGTCTTTCTGCCCCTTTCTCCTGTCCCGTCTTCCTTCCTTTGTGCTCCTTCCTCTCCTACCCTCACCCGCCCCTGTGCCATGCAGGAGGGTCTCCCCCAGCTGACCAGACCATGGTCATCAAGACGTTCCGTTTCCTGTCACAGAAACTCTTTATCTCCGTCTCGGTTCTCTCCAGCCTGGGCATTGTCTTAGCTGTTGTCTGTCTGTCCTTTAACATCTACAACTCCCATGTCCGGTAAGTTTCTCTTCTGACATTTTCCTTGTCTGGCTGCCTCCCCAAGATAACTATATGCCCCTTGGAGGGTGTTAAAATAAAACCTGCATAACTCTTGGGGTCAGAGGTTTTCACTCTGGCTTCCTGTTTTCCCAGTGACCACTGAGAGTGATGGGGGGAGAACCAGATATAACTCTCCTCCCTGCTCCAGAGCAGCTAACTGAAAAGTGGAAAGCCTGTGGGACTGGGTAGCAGTGCAGAACTCTGGACAGCAGCTCCGGCTCCGAGCCCATCTCCAGCCCTCTGGCCCCATCTCCAGGCTGTGGCCCTATCTCCAGCCCTGTGGCCCAGCTGGCTTTGTCTCTCGTGGCTGCTGCCTGCTCCAAGCTTGTCTTCCCTTGACCCCGAGGCCGGGTCACGCTTTTGTGTGGCCTTCGGAGAGCTGGACCTCTCTGGGGGAGAGGGTAATTCTGCTCTTCTCCCTCTGCCCTCCGCCTGCCCCTGCCCTAGTTACATCCAGAACTCGCAGCCCAACCTGAACAACCTGACTGCTGTGGGCTGCTCACTGGCTCTGGCTGCTGTCTTCCCCCTCGGACTGGACGGCCACCACATCGGGAGAAACCAGTTCCCCTTCGTCTGTCAGGTGAGGAGAGGGTGGGCGAGTCCCCTCCTGCCGGCTCAGCAGCTTGATGGTTCCTTGCTTTTCCTTCTCATCTCTCCTCTCACCCCTCTGGCCTCTGTCTGCCTCGTCCCTTTTTTCTGTGCCTCTGGACTTGTTTCAGTTCCAAGGTTGCCATGGCATGCCTTGCAGAGAAGAGGAGGGAGATATTGAAGGCCGAGGAAGGGGGTCTGCACAAAGAGCCCTGAACAATGGCTTGTGCGTGGGTGGGGGCTGAGAACAAGAACTGTGGACTTCCTGTGGGAGCCTGAGTCAGGGTTTAGAAGACTGGAGGCAGAGATCTGAACTAACAGCTGGGAGAGTTGGGGGGAGGGACCATGGTAACATAGCGGGGGGAGGACCATGGTAACACTGCAGAACTCTTGGTGCATGGAAGGTTCTGGAGCTATGGGGAAAGATGGCATCAAATTGTGATATTGTGTGGTTCTCTGTTGTGTTCAGCTGGTGGGAGCTTCCTCCCTTTCCTCTTGCCCATCTTTACTCCTCTTTCCTGGGTGCTGGATCTGTCCTGATCATGCATCTATGCAAATGATATTTGTACACAAATGCACAGACATTTCATCAGAGACTATCTGTCCCCAGCGAGACCAGAATGCAGTGGGAGAAGCACATAATTAAATGTAGTGCAATATGAGAAGTCTCAGCGCAAAGTGATGTGGGAGCAAAGAGGAAGCAGCTCCCCCTCAGAATAGTTGGCATACTTCAAAAAAAAGATGTGGCATTGGAGTATTGGAGTATTACACCGCGTGTTCAGCAAAGACACGGAAGAGATTAGACCAGGGAGAGTGAGCAGTTCAGCCTGGCTGGGGTGTGGGGTAGTGAGGTGAGCCCCTGTTGTGAAGGTTCTTGTACCACATCTGGAGGTGTTCAGGCTGCAACCTGTAGACATTGGCGGATGGTCATAGGTGTTTAGTCATTCAAACCCAGAAGTTTTAGCAAGATCACCCTAGTGGAAAAGCAGATAATGAATGGGAGAAATCTGTGGAAAGGGGGAGCCTGCCTACTGGCCCGTCCTATCCTCCTCGTCTTGTGGTGTAGCCCTAGTCCGTCTGCATAGTCATATGTTCACTTCTGCAGCCCCGCCCACCCTTGACACAGCCCCAGCTACTCCTACTGACCCACCTACCTGCCCTGCCCTCTCTCCTCTCCTAGGCCCGCCTCTGGCTCCTGGGTTTGGGCTTTAGTCTGGGCTACGGCTCCATGTTTACCAAGATCTGGTGGGTCCACACGGTCTTCACAAAGAAGGAGGAAAAAAAGGAGTGGAGAAAGGTGAGCTGCGCTGACCCCTCAGCCCCTAGCTCCTTGGCTCTCGGGGGTTAGAAGAGTCCCAACATGCCTGTGCTCCTGTGTTTGCCCAGACCCTGGAGCCCTGGAAGCTGTATGCCACTGTGGGCCTGCTGGTGGGCATGGATATCCTGACTCTTGCTATCTGGCAGATTGTGGATCCCTTGCACCGGACCATTGAGGTATTGCTTGCGAGGATACAGGGGTGTCAGGAGGCCCAGCAGGGCTCTCTGTGGTCAGGGGCTCCAGGGCTGTGGTGGCCTCGAGAAGTATAGCCTTCTCGCCTTCTACTGTCAGCAGCTTCCCTGATCATTCCTAGAATGATCTCCATCAGAGGCCTCTGGACACATCTGGAGAAAGGAAGGGGTGGGGACCTGGGAAAGATCCAGGCATCATGGAAAGTAGAGGAACAAACACTTCCCAGGTGTTCAAGAAAATGCTTCCAGCTAAAGTGGGACTTGACCTCATTATTGAGTCTCAGAGGAAAGCGGGCGCAGAGCTGGGAGTTGGGGACTTAGCAGAGGTGGGGAGGGTAGCGGGGGGTGGTAACCATCTTTCATGTGGCCCTAATTCTCCCTTAGACTTTTGCCAAGGAGGAACCAAAGGAAGATATCGACGTGTCTATTCTGCCTCAACTGGAGCACTGCAGCTCCAAGAAGATGAATACGTGGCTTGGTGTGTGGGACGTGGGGGCCGGGGTGCAGGCTGCAGCAGATTGAGGGGCAAGGGTCTTTGGAAAGAGAGTCAGAGAGCTTGTGTCAGTCAGTTTCAAGTCCTCCTGTATTACTGCTCTGATCTTTTCCAAGAATGGAGGGCAGTTAGTGTTTTGCTGTGAGGAGCTCAGAGCCCAAGGCAGGGATGAGCAGCACTTGCACTCAGCAGAGGGGCGGTCTCACCTCATCTCTGGCCTGGCACTCTCTGTGGTCAGCTCCCTACAGTAAGACCGGGGCTGGGAGGACCTGGGCTTAGGCCCCCTTGGCCTGCTCTGTATCGCTGTCATTGATGACCACAGTGCCAGACTACCCTCAAACTGGTAAGCTGTCTTCCCACCTAGGGAAGGTCAGGGGGTCAGATGCTGTGTCACCCAGGCCTTTGCCTTATGGACAGTTGCTCATGACCAGTGTCTTCCTGTGTGACTTGGTTCCAGTTCAGGAGGAAGCGGTGAGGTCTGGGTAGGATGGGTGGATTTGAAGGGGGGGGGGTAAACAGGAAGGGTGTGTGAGTCAGAGGGGCTGGGTGGAGAAGGGGTCCCCTTTTCATTGTGGAGGTATAAGGAGGAGCAGTAGCAGGTCAGGGCACAGAGGATGGGGAGTGGATGAGTGCACGAAGGTCTTGTTGCCCAGGTGACATTTTCCTGCCATTCTAGGCATTTTCTATGGATACAAGGGGCTGCTGCTACTGCTGGGCATCTTTCTTGCTTATGAGACCAAGAGTGTGTCCACTGAGAAGATTAATGACCACCGGGCTGTGGGCATGGCCATCTACAACGTGGCGGTGAGCTCCCTGGACACTTGGGTTGGCCGTGGGCTGACTGCAGCTCAGATTCGGTGACCTGGGAAGAATCGGGCACCATGCCTGGGATCAGCTGGGTGAAAGTTTTAAAACGTTTTTTAATGCCTCAGACCTTTAAAGCACTTTATAGCTGATAAAGCACAATATCGACACTATCTTCACACAACCACCCAATGAATTGACTATTAGTAACCCTTCTGTGTAGGGTCTGATTCACAAGCGAAATTTCCCGCCTGCTGGCCCAGGGACTTTTGAGAGCCTGGATATGTCCAGAGATCAAGGGAGTTCCTGCCTTGAGGGAGGTGACCCCCTACCTTGACCTAGAGCAGGAACTGGTTTGGGATAATTCGTTTGGGATTCTTCTCAGTCTAGAGTGGAGGATGAACCCCAGTTTAAGTCCTTTCAAGTGGGAAGTTCACCGGGGACCAGTCTTCAGACTCTCAGGGAAAGAAAACCCTGCTTGCTGTCTGAGCCTGCAGATTAGGCTGAGGCTCCCCAAACACGCTGTGTCCCCAGGTCCTGTGCCTCATCACTGCCCCGGTCACCATGATCCTGTCCAGCCAGCAGGACGCGGCCTTTGCCTTTGCCTCTCTCGCCATAGTTTTCTCCTCCTACATCACTCTGGTTGTGCTCTTTGTGCCCAAGGTGAGCCTGGTGTTCTTCCATCCTCTCCAGCTCACACCCCGCTTCTCTGCCCTCCCCTGTCCCTCCTCCCTCTTTCTCCCTTGTTTGGGTCCCAGCTGGTCCCTCTCATTTTCATTCTGACTCCAACCCTCCACCCACTCAGCTAATGGCTGACAGCTCCTGCTCAGCACCCCATGCCCCAAATGTTCGCCCCCAGATGCGCAGGCTGATCACCCGAGGGGAATGGCAGTCTGAGGCACAGGACACTATGAAGACAGGGTCATCAACCAACAACAACGAGGAGGAGAAGTCCCGGCTGTTGGAAAAGGAGAACCGAGAATTGGAGAAGATCATTGCTGAGGTGAGTGGTGATGGGGTGAGGGGGGGGTGGTCCCTGGGGTCCCACAGCTCAGGTGGGGTTTTCTGAGGCAGGGCCTGAGATAGTGGTTCAGGTGTGTAATCTATTGAGAGAGGGTCTCAGGAGAAAACTGCCAGGGAGAGGGTGAGGACAGGAAGGGGAAATGACTGAGCTTCATCAGGTGGGAGGGGGCTCTGGAGCGTGGACTATACTGTTGACTTGAGCCCTGGAGGCAGCAAGGGGGTGGCCTTGGGCTGTGGGGGACATCAGGGAGCTGAGTGTTGAGTGAATTTTTCCTGTGAGGGGAACGTGGGCAGATCCCGAGGTATTCTCTGTGCCTGGGGCATATTCAGGCTGGGTTGGCACAGATCTCTGCGTGAGTTATTGGAAGCCGCATCCTCTGACCTTTCTTTCCTGTTTTCTTTTTTCTCTCTTTTTTTTTTTTTGTTCTCTTTTTTCAACTGATGTCCCCACTATGTTCCTTTGGCTTTCCTTGTTCTTTTAATTTCTCTGTCCAGCTACCCTTATATCTCCTCCAGGTTTCCTCTGCTGTTCCTCCGGTACCTCCTCCCGACCCCGTCATGACTTCTTTTGCTCACATTCTGCTTTCCTTCCTCCAGAAAGAAGAGCGTGTCTCTGAATTGCGCCATCAGCTCCAGTCTCGGCAGCAGCTCCGTTCGCGGCGTCACCCTCCGACACCCCCAGACCCCTCCGGGAGTCTGCCTAGGGGGCCTCCAGAGCCTCCTGACCGGCTTAGCTGTGATGGGAGTCGAGTCCATTTGCTGTACAAGTGAGGGAGTTGTGAGGGAGGACAGGCCAGTCAAGGGAGAAGGGGAGGGGGTGGGGAGCCAGCAGAGGACCCATGTTCCGGTGGGAGGAACATGTTACCCCAACCCACCTCTTGTAAATACAGACCCCTCTGTGAGTCCTGGGGTTATCCGGGCCTCTAGAACGCTGGGAAACAGACTGTGTTCTCTCTTCCTCCTCCATATAATGTTATATCACTACTTCCTATTTAGTTTGTACCTCGCTTGAAGCATCTCAGTGACTCGCTGCATATGTCCTCTCTTGTGAAACACCGCCTGCATGTTGCCATGGCACCCCCAGCTCCCTCTGCCTTTGTGTTCTGTTTTCATCCAGCAGGGGCCTCCCCAAAGTGCTCTTTCTGTCCCAACAGGTACTTCTCCATTTCTCTCGCCATCATATTCTCCTTTCATCCCACTTGCCCCTCAACACATCCCCAACTTTTGTCTCCCTTACATTTTGCTTCTTTGGGCCTTCTTCTTGCCAGTGTTCACACATGCCTCGCCTCTGCTCTGTGTTACGCTGCCCCCACACCATGGCCTCCCCTCCCCTGCATGTTCTCATGGCACCTGCTCAAGTTCATGCTCGCTTCCCACATGTGCCTTCTGCACCTCCCTATGGCCACATGTGTTCCCTTCACTCATAGCTGAGGGTGCCCTCTCGCCCAGTCATGCGTGTGCCCTGGCACGCTTGAGCAGGTGTGTGCCCTGTTTCTGGCGTGCTGAGTTTCGTCTTTCCCAATTGCCTGATTCATATTTCACCCATTCATTTCCCCTGTGTGCTCTCACGGGTCCATCTGTACCTTCTTTTTGCACCTTAAACTCATTGTGCTCGTCCATCAGAGCCGTAGGTGTCCACCCTGCACATTGTTAAGCACTTTTCCCCCCTTAATGTCCATGGGGCCAGTCACCCCCTCTCTTGGCATACTTGGTTTCTGCTAGAACTTTCCCCACTCTCCTTTGCACTCATGAGCCACCCTCAGTCCACTCATAGTCACCCTGTGCCAAGATTGTCTCCTTTGCTTTTTTGTTTTTTTTCTGAGGGGATTAAGGAAGAAATGGGGACAGGTTTGGGGAACTGCTTCTAGTAGACGGTGAGAATCCTGGCCGAACGAAGGCACTCCTCACTATTGAGATGGACAAACGGACCTATGGGGCCGGGGGCATCCCTTTCACAATGTAGTGTCTCTTGGGGAAGGATCTTTTCAAATCTCAATAAATCAGTGAACAGTGTGACTCAGCACCTGGTCCCATACTGTGAACGCAGCGGGTTGAGTCGGAGAAGGGAGACGTGGAGGTCTCCATGTTAAAATACGTTGAAGTGGAGGGGTGGGAAGAGGTGTTTTATTGATCCATTGAGGGCTTAGCAGACAACGCAGGACACAAGGCTGAGATTAGTGATGACATTAGTGGTTAAAAATGTGGGCTTTGGAGTCAAATTCACCACATGGGAAAAAGTTCCTCAATCTCTCTCTTCCCTGCACTCTGTGGAAGAGAATAATACCGTCTTGTCACCATCATCATCACCACCTCACATTCCTCCATGCAGTGAAGACTAGGCTTAGATTGGCTCTTGGTCCAGAGCATGTTGGGTGCATGCTTGCCACCGTCAGTGCCGCGTGCCAAGTCTCTGACAGCGATGGCCAGCCCTGGGTGCCTAGAGCATGGCACTGAACAAATACAAGGACTGTCTAGGAACAGAAAAAAAAATGCTGGCAGCTAGGAGATAGTGGAGGAGATGGCCCCTGAGGGCTTCCAACCTTAAAAGCCTTTTCTAAGAATGCTGAACATCTCGGAAGGAGTTTGCTAGCCAAATGAAAGTATTGACTGCCTAACAGAAAAAGAAATGTGTCTGGGACTTCTATAGTTCTAATTGTCCTCTTGGAGAAGTGCTTTTTTTGAAGCTCAGCTTTTCTTTTCCTTTGGTACTGATTTTTTAAGCAATTCTCACGTTTTTGCAAAAGAGTCCCAAGGGCTGAGTAGGCCCTGTCAATTCATCATCTTGTTTAAGTCCGATTTCTGGAATTCCATGCAAGCACAGACCGGCTAAAATCTTAGACCAGTACCTGAAAACCATTCTACTGTGAACATCTACTTTGAACCATTTGAGTTCCCTCTTCTCACAGTGGAATAGTCTTAAGGAGAAGAAGACTGGAGGAGGTAAGCCTGCAGTGTGCAAAATGAGTAGCTGGCTTCAGAGGTGGTTGCAGGAGCATATTCTGATTTTGGGTAGAACATAAACCCCAGAATGACCACCTCAAACTTTCTGACAAATGGACAGGGTGTGAATTATGAATAAAGGGTCAGAAGTTCTACTGTGGCCAGGGTGAGCTGGACATTCTTGTCTAGTAGGAGCACAGAAACCAAGTCCGTGCCCCCACCACTTGGCCATCTCGGGCCTGGCTCCTGGGCTTCTCTAACCCTCCCTGCCTCTGGCCAGGTGCTGTGCACTCAGCTTCAGATCTCCGACTTTGGAGCACTGGGATCTGGACTGCCTGCCTGTGGCCCCTGCATGCCCCTGACGGCCTGTGGCCTCCCTATTTTAGTCACTTACTAAAGTGCATTTTAAAAAATAGTATTTGTTTTACATGGTTCATTTTTGTATAATGTTTGTTTTCTGCTCAGGTGTAGTCCTCATAAAATTCCCACCACCAGATCACCGGGGAACCATAGTCCCTTGTGCTCTTCCCTCCCCCTTTTCATCTCAGTTCTATCGTTAACCTGCTAGTTTTGTCTTTTTTTTTTTTTCTTGACCCCGTGTTAGGGTCCCTATATTCCTCCTATAAGTGAAACCACTGATATTTTTCTTTTTCTTTTGACTTATTTCACTGAGCATAAGCTCCATCCATGTTGCTGCAAGTAGTGTGAGTTTTATCTTTTTTGATTGCTGAGTAGTAGTGTGTACTACTAGTACACAATAGATGACCCAGTCATCTAAAAAGCATTTTGTGAGCACTTTGTTATCTTTTCAGTCAAGTTCTGATTGGGGAATTGCTGTGGTAGGCACGGGGAGTAGGGAGGGTAGAGCTGTGAGCAGGATGGGCTTTCACTGGATATACATCCTCAGGGTGGAAAGATGAAATAAGATCGCTTAAGAGAGCAACCGGGAGTGCTGGGCATCTTGCAGTCTAGTTTTTATGCTCAAATGACGCCTTAAGTAAGGTGCTGTGTACTTACATCTGCTGTCTGGGAAGAGGAAGGCTTGTGCGGAGTCTCACAGGTTAATGAGGAGAGCCACCATTCACATTGTGTGTTTTGTTTTAAACCAATCATCATCTCATGTTTCTGTGGATCAGGAACTCAAAAGGGACCGTGGGGAGACCCCTGGAGATTTGAAGCCTGGGGCCTGAAGGCTCTAGTGGCAGGAGATGATTGTCAGTGGCAGCACTCCCCTGCACAAGTCTTTTCCAAGTGGCTTGGGATCCCGCATGACACGGTGACCAGATTCCAAAGGTGAGGGCCCTGAGGTGGAGATGATCGGAGGGAGCTGGCTGGGTTGAAGCTGCATCTGTTATTTTGCCAGACTTGCAAGTCCCATAGCATTACTTCTGTTCTAGCTCATCGGTCTTGGTGACCAGAAAGCCACGTCCAAATTCAAGGGAGGAAACAAGCTTCATGTCTTGGTGGGATGAGCATAGTCCCACATCAGATGGGATAAGTATATTATCACATGTTGCAGTTGGGCAACCACACTGATAAAGAAACGGAAGTTGTGGAGCAGGCTACATAATGCAGGATGCTGCTGAAGAGCAAGATCCTGGCCTTTTTATGGATGGAAGAATTATACAGCATCAATTGTAAGGGGAAGACTGAGAAAAAAGGGGAAGAAGGTGAAAGGAAAAGGGGAAGACCAGGCACTCATCTGCTTGATGGCTTGGTATTGTAATTGAGATCAAGCTCTAGTTCCCCAGAGCTAGATTGAAACGTAGCCACACATTTCAATCTTATCAACAAGACTTTCCACTGATCAGCTTATACATGGGTCGTTGGCTTCCCTGCCCACCCCCCCAGGTTGTTGGTCATACCTTGTGATGTTTTAAGTCAGGGGGAATACGTTTTATGCATGGGTCATCAGCCCCCTGGGGGGGTTCTTGGTCATGCCTTGTGATGCATATCCTTCCCAGTGTGATCCAGCTTTGGGATTTAGAACTGTAGGTAACAAAATGGTGGCCGAATAGGCTGTTTCAGATTAGCAGACTCATAGACTTTTTCGGAAAAAAATGATCCACTGCATCTGGTCTGCCTACTCCAAAGGAAGTGTTCACCTTGCCACACACCTTGCTCCCCTCCCATATGGATCACCCATTCTTGTCTGTTTGCTGGCTTCCCGCCTGGCACCAGGCCTTTGGGTCCTTCTGCATAATTCTGGGCCAGCTGTTATCCCACACGTAGTCCTATTTGCCAGTTGTCGCTCCTCCCACTCTCTTGTAATCTTTGGTTACTCTGGTGAGAGTTTTTTCACTCTGGCTTTAGAAGCAGAGATTTCTTTACTCTGTCCTTTATGGTCCTTTAGCCTGAGGGGAGTCAGAAGATGGGCTCCATATCAGGTGACATCTTCCCCCCCAAATGAGGGTTAATATTTAAAATTCTTAACCCATATGGCATCCACTTACATGGTCCCCCAGAGCAAGGAAGGATACGCTAGGAGCTCTCAGGGAAGATGAGCCCCTGCACCAGTGGGCTCCGCGCGGGGATGGGGTGGGGGTCTCCAATGCAGTAGAGGGAGGGAGATTAGAGAGAGGAGGAAAAATTATCTTTTCTCTCTCTCCAGCTTAGGTTCTCTAGCTAGGGGTCTCGAAGGTTGGCAAAGACTGATTGTGAGAGGAAAACAAGTTTCTGCCATGTGCACTGTGCACAGACATGGACTGCTCGGTGATGAGGACCCCCACATGGGTGGTTAGAACTGGGTTTATATGCCATTTTAGGCTAAACAAGGGAAAAATGGTTTGGGATTCTGGGTGATGGGGACAGATTGGGGAGAGTGTTAGATGAGCCAGGGTTGTTTAGTTGCTGTGCAGATTTAGGACTTAGTGCCTTCCCAGTTGCTCAGAGTGAGAGAGGTGTGAGTCCTCTTCCAGGTACCGGAGAGGGAGACACCTTTACAAATGTAAATTTCCTTGGCAAAAGTATAACGTGTGCACTGTTTTTAGAATGCTCATGCACCTACTGGTTCTCAGTCACCTTCAGCCCAAAATAGTCCACATGCCAAAGAAGCGTATTTTGGAATGACAAATTCTGGTAACTTTACACTAGTCAGTGATTAGGGGAAACCAGGAGGACTGGTTTTTGGGAGCTGGAGGGATGCAGCAGGCCTGGGCCTGTCCATCAGGACCTATTTATGACCCAAAGAGCTCTTTGAAGTGAATGGCAACCATACTTGAGTAGGCAACCCACACTGTGAGGTGCTTGAATAATGTCCCTTAAATACTTCCAACTCAAGTGTTAGGTGCATAGGTCATCCTCACAAGACTTAAATCTTACAGCTTTTAAGTATACATAAGGTAAGGGATTCTTTTTTCCAATTGTCACTGATTCAGTAGCTTCTCCATATTTCAAAAATAATATATACCTACCTCCTTAAACATTTACCTTCCTAGTATAACTCCTTTCACACCTTTCCATCTTAAAACATGGCATACTTCAGTTTCCACGTGGTAAAGTGACAACTTTTTATATTAATTTTGTTCTTTCTGCTGTGGTTCAAACCACTAGGAGGAATTCTCTGAGGTCCACACCACCCAAGCACTAATGTACTTTATTCTTTTATTCTGATTCCTTTGAATCAGTTTACCACGTGGAAATTGAAGTATGCCATGTTTTAAGATGGAAAGGTGTGGAAGGAGTTACATTAGGAAGGTAAATGTTTAAGGAGGTAGGTACATATTATTTTAGAAATACAGAGAAGCTACTGAATAAGTGACAACTGGAAAAAAGAATCCTTTTATTCCTTTTATTCTGATTCTTTTATCTGATTCCTTTTATTCTGATTACCTTGATTCCAAGATAAGTGTTTAATCTAGGTCACTTTGGTTTGGTACTACAATAAAACTAAGAATTTTCTCTTTCTTATTTTGCTAGAATGTCCTCAAAGAGAAATTGGTATTGTCATTGACATGGAAAAGTTGGGAGATAACATTTGTGGGATTGGGATTTATAGAACCCGTTAACCATTCTTGGGAGAGATTTATTCATTTGATCATTCATTTACCCATTTATTCATTTGTCCATTTATAAAATCAATTAGGGGCTAATTTCTGCAACAGCTGGTTCTTGCCTTCTGGGAGTCTGCAGTTTAGTGGGACACTGAGTCAGGAACACACACCATAAGCTGTAA